CTTGATCCACGGTTTTTGCCATGTAAGTATAGCATCGCCACCAGCGACCCTGGACTGTCAATGCACGTAACGTGTATTTGACATGTCCAGGTCAGAATTCAGATTTCACGATCCACCAGTGAAATAAACTCCCACTGTAGGGCAGCTGTCCGAATGTTTTAGACATGAGCACCAGGTCTCTCGGTCTTGACCCTCAGGTTCTTCGGGGGCGTCTCAAAAGCTTGTGTTACACGGTTCGAGCAACCGTGTAACTAATTTTGCCCCAATCGATCCAATGTTTTCCATTAGATAACTTTATCATCGTTGTAGCAGTGGTGATACAATCAATACCATCCATAATGATAAGTCGATTATTCAACTTGAGCCAAATGTGAGCAATGACTGGGAAGAAGCACACTATGTAGAGGTGTTGAGGGCAAGTTTGAGTTTGTTGTCCAAAGGTTATAAAGCCACACAAACATTATCTGTTCACCGCATCCGCTTGCTCGCATCTTATTTCCTCCTCTCTCCTAGAAATCGTCAAGAAGGTCATTAAGTTTGCACGCATCTATTCCCTTGCTCCAGCCCCTTCGGAATGAATCATATGTATAATGATGAGAGGCCACCATCAGGTCAACGTCCACCATCAGGTCAACGTACGTGCTATGTTTATCTAATGTCATTCATGCCGATGGGGCCCAATTCTCATGTAGTCAATTCTTGATTTCAGGTCAAACTAATGGCTTCAACCGTGATGGCTCTTATGGAGGCTACTCCGAAGACACCGATGTCAACAACTTCAACACTCAAGGTTTTCTTCAGAGTTATCGCAATAGACGCGAGGACTTGCTGGATGCTCATTCTCAGTTCAGCAACAGCCAACATGTCGACTTCCCTGGATCATCTTTTTATGAAGCCTTCACTCCCACTCCCTCCTCCACCTCCACCTCCTTATCTCGTTCATCAACTCGCAAACCTCCGACTCGGCGTACCTCCGTCTCCACGTCACTCTCTGGTGCTTCAACATCAAACCGGGATCCTCCTACTTGCCAGTTGACCATCGAACCTGAAGAAGGCTCCAAACGATCGAACTACACTGACGACGCCCTTGCCCAGCTGTGCACGTCATGGCTTCACGTTTCTCAAAACCCCATTATTGGTAGTGATCAACGTCGCACTAAGTTTTGGGAGAAGATCACCACCCATTTCAATCAGCATATGGATAAAGCAAACCAACGCACGTTGAAATCCCTCGAGTCACGCTGGTCCACTCTCAATCGCAATATGTCTAAGTTTGCCAGCTGTGTCCAACAAATCAAGAGCCTCAAGGAGTCTGGAAAATCGACTGAAGACCAGATCACCGATGCTCTCGCCCTCTACAAGCAGGATGTCAAAACTTCTTTCAAAGACATGAGTAGCTACAACATGGTCAAGCACGCTCCGAAATGGCAAGAAAATCCAGCTTACCTAGAACATTGTGGTAACGGAAATTCAGTCGGGTCTGATCTTGACGGTTTGGATCTTGCGAGTGACATAGATGCCTTACCTCATATTGATCGTCCAACGGGAACCAAGAAGGCAAAGCAAGGAGCTGGTAAATCTTCACTCTCCGAAGAATTAGCGCCAAAGATGCTAGAGAATGCGAGTGAGGTTGCAATATCTAGCCGAGAGTTAGCCAATCAAGGGAAAGAGGCTCAAGCCACTCTGTCCAAGATGCTTGACTACAGCCTTCTCTCGACTAATCTCTCCTCAATCGATGAGTGTGTACGCGCTGAGTTTGAAGCCGAGAGGGCCGATATCATTCGCAAGCAACGTGCCCGCAGAGCAGCAGAACGAGCTCTTGAATAGTTCAAAGTTTTTCACTTTATGTTTCCTTTTCATTCAACTCGCTTGATTTGTTTCATTTCATGTCTTTTATTCTTCAAATCTTTTTTGTTACTTTTGTTACATTGATATTAAGTCATTTCAAGTCTTTTGTTCATCTCTTTTTTTGGTTACTTTTGATAGGCTAGTTTTAATTCTTTTCATGTCATTCTTTTGGTCAGTTTTCTTTGCTCGGCTTGTGATCATGTCTATAGTTTCTCCTCTTTTTGTCTATAGTGTGAATAGTCATTATAACGCATTTCATGTTAGACATCACAACGTGATTGATCCATATTGAGCCACCTTTTCTCTTCATATCTTTACCTCCAGTCTCGTATGATCACCAATTCTCAAATTTTTTGGTTTTGCTCTGACTGCGAAGCTCAGAAGAAACAAATGATGGCAGGTCATCGCGCTCAAGTCGGATATTCAATTTCATAGAGCTTGGCAACGCGATTGACGACTGCGCTTCATTGGATGACCACCAGAATCATACGTATAAAGAGAGGCCTCCCTCCACGCTGCCTCCATCCACACTCCACACTTCACCTTCCCTCTCACACTCGATTCATTGCACATCTTTCCTCCTTTTCTGTTGCATATAGTTTAGCCAGCAATTTCTTTCTTATTTTCATTGCACATATTCCCTCCGAGTTAGTAGTTATTGCACAAACTACCTCGACTTTAAATCATGTCAATGTCTAACCGTGTATGTGGTGAAGTTATGCCCTGGTGTGTTCCCGTTGCAGGAGAAGTAGGTTAGTCAAAATTCCAGCATCAGCACTCCAATCTGAAAATGTAATCAAAGCTAATGTAGACGTACTAGCCTGTTGGATTTGCACCGACTATGGGTACCAGGCTTCTCTGAGTCCTCGCGCTTTGCGATATCTCCGTCGTCAAACGGGTTCCGAGGTGTTTGTAAACACCTCAAGTGTTGGATTTCGACGTAAGTTTCTTGTTTGTCTTGAGTGGTATGCAAAATTTAATATAGGTTTTGCTTTTGCTCTCATACATTGCAGGCAATCGTCGTCGTGCTCAAGTCCAACGTTATGTTAACTCAAAACGGCGGTCCATACGACCGCGCCGAAGTTACCAACAGCGCTTGTCCTACTGCGATGACCAAGCCAATGGAGAAATCAAGAAAATTACTCAGAAGAAGTGCAGAGATGACTTTCGAAATCTACGTGAGGCGCTGATTTTGGTGTCCAGCTACACCGGCCCTCACTTGCAACAAGCTGGTGATAAGAAGAAGGCCGGACTCTTTTTAAGAAGGGTAGGACTCGGTGAACACTTTGTCAAACTATCTGAGGATATCAAATGGGAATGGCTTGAAGGTCGCATTTGATGTAGACAGATCATGAAAACATCTCCTAGGTATTCACCGATGTTATGTTGTTGTTCCATGTGCCGATCATCTATTCTTCCGTACTTTTTGTCTTGCTATTTCGCTTATGCCTCAGTATATCATGAAGTTGTTCCTGCGTTTATCAATCATGATTTTCTCTCGTCTCTCATTGTATCATGAAATCAATACAAGCTTGTACATAGAATGGCCATTGCTATATAGCTTTATATTACATGAGTAAAAGAAAGTGGGCATGTATATATCACAAACTCAGAGAAAAACAAACCGATACAGACTAAACCAAAGCAATTCTTGTAGACACCAAGTATAGACACAAAGAAAGAAAGAGTAGAGAAAAATAAGAGCCGGAACTACATAACCATCAAGAAAGAAATAAAAATCGCACAGACTAAATAAAAGATGAGTCAAACTAAAGCTAGATGTCATCTTCACTGCTCAAATCGCTGTAATCTTCATCATGATTACCAGAGTTCATCTTCCACAGGTGCTCGATCAAGTTGTTGCGTAAAGAATAGTGAGCATCCGAATTGCGATAAGCTTCGCGGCCTCTCAAGAATTGAGCAGCAAAACCGGGAGGGCGACGTAGAGGGGCAGGAGGAATCAAATCTTCTTCTTCCAAAAACTCGTAGCCCGGATTACCTTGGTCTTCAATGATCATGTTATGAAGTATGATACAAGCATTCATAATCAAACATAGCGAGCAAGGTTGCCACATCCGGGCTGCACCTCTGATTATGTGGAAACGAGCTTGCAGTACGCCAAAGCCTCGTTCCACGTCCTTGCGAGTCGCCTCCTGAGCTTGGGCGAAATTCTAACAGTAGAGAAGCCAAAGGGAACAATCACACATCAGTATAGTGAAAGAAATCGTCAAAATCGAAATAGGATAAATGAAAACAGACTGACCGTCAATTTAGGAGTGTCAGGAGCGCTGTAAGATTGGATCAAGGTTGCCCACTTGGGATAAATCCCATCAGCGAGGTAATAACCG